GGAAGAGGAGATGTCACGCCCATTTTGGTAATTTTCGCAAAGGAATGACTGACGGAGGGCTTCTCCCTGCTGGTGAGCCGCCGCAATAAGAAGGAAGAAAAAGGATCAAAAAGGGGCTGGCTTAATTCTTAGTTTTCCGTCTGTAGCTTAGCTTGAGATTGTTGACTTTTCCTTGAGCTTTTGCTCTTGACTTTTCTTACGCATGGCAGGATAATTTAGCTTGAGTTCTTGACTTTTCTGAGTTACCTTACTTTTAGCTTTTTGTCTCCACGAATGCTAGCAACAATAAAGAAACTCAATTGTCACTTGCAATTGCCGTGTGCCTTATAAGTGTTCGACGAATTGCGGATTCCGAAGATGCAGGCTAAGGCCGTGACTCTGGCTGAAATTTTCTGCGGGCTTAGTTCATCCAATATGAGCTAATCCCCTCATTCTAGTCAAGAAACGACGGATGCTTTGATTCGCCTGAAAATTGTGAGATCGATTTAATTTAATCTCTCCCTTTTATTTATTGGTATTCGTGTATTCCTTGATTGCTACGCTTATGGTTATTCAATTAATTGATTGTCGTGGATCCGGATAATTAATTGATCTGATAGCCTATTGTCAACTAGGGCATTTAAATCCGTAATTGTTTGATTGTCCTGAATTAGTGACGACTGGCACGATTAGCTTCGTGTCAGGGGGATACGCGGGCTAATCTAAAATAACTCTGGTAGTGCGTTATTTGATTAGAATAGGGCTCCTCTAATACGTAAGGCAGTTGGGAAATTAAATTCTATGGGCGTACCTAGGATTATTTCTCAATTAGAGCAGTGATTAACGGGCGTACCTTAATCATCGACACAGTAAGGAGGGGTTGACTGTCATCGCTTGCTTGGCAGTTATAACCTATTTATTGATAAATAATCGGAATTGCCTTTGCTTATCGATGATCAATTAGGTGAACCATTGCTGAAGTTATTTCTTGGCTAGATCCTTAATTATCACTTGTTAGATTTAAGTAAATTGTTATTTACTTTCTAGTTGGCTATTTTACTTTTATCATTTTATTTTTAGTTGAATTGTTTAAATTGTCACTCCTGATATAAAACACCCCCTTTGTCACTGTGAATTTGGAAAGGAACAATTACTCCCAATCCCTGTGGATTCGACCCTGCTTACTGCTATCTACAGAAATTACTTTTAGTTTGAGCAGGTTTTATTATTGCACAGGCTGACGACCTGTCAAGATAGAAGTTTATCAAGTTTGGTATCTTATGTTTTTTTAAAAATATATATATATAATTTTTTATTTATAATCTTTTCTACTTTACCATCCAACCCAACCTCCTCCCAGTTTGGTACCTTACCTTAAGTTGAAAAGCATATTGCTAAAATTTTACACGGTTGTCTTTTCTATTTGAGATTAACTTTCAAAACAACTTTAGAGCCATGGGAGTGTATTGTTCGCCATAAACAATAGTCTTTTCGTACTTTAGTTAAAAAAATATTTATAATCTATTTTTTTTATGATTTATAACTTGTTTGGTATATTATAAATAAAATTAAAAAAAAGAATTCCTCACAATTCTTTTAGGCTATCCTAAAGCCAATCAATATCCCATCAATCAAAATAATCACGAGAATAGTCGTTTGATTATTCTTTTTATGACTTATGACACATGTTTAATTTGGGTAAGGCACTCGATTTTATTAGAAGAAAGAGATTATCATTACCTTTTCTTCACCTCTATCATGTCTTCCACGGTACCTTTCTATGCTTACCATCCTTCCAACTTGGCTCCTAAAGTAAGGCAAAAATAATGATTATAATATTTTTTATGATATAATATATGTAAAATAAAAAGATAATTTAAAATTTTTAAAAATAATTAAATTTATTATACAAATATAGTAATGACCGAAATAATTTGGATGGCCAAACACCCCTACCGATTCTATGCTATAATAATGTGCAGGTCATATCTCCTACACAACATGCCGTGGTATAAGTTGGCCAAAAATACCTGATTATGTCAAATCCAAACCAAAATTCTTTGGTTAATGGGATTGTCTAAACGTCAAGTATGTCAAACCTGAAAAGTACAAAGAAGTAAGTGAGCTTCATCATGAGTTTCTTTCTTTTTTTTCCCCATGAGTACAAAGTTTTAAAAGATGGTAAGTGCAGTACAAAGTTTAAACTATATCGAGCTCGAGTCGAGTTCGAGCTGGCTCGAATCGAAATTGAACTCGAGCTCGAGCTCAAAATATTAAACTCGGCTCGCGAGTTCGAGTATATATATTTATTTTTTTTATTTTAAGTATATATATTTTTTATATTTTTTAGTTTTAATAGTAAAATTACATATATATCCTTAATATTTTATTATTTATTAAGAAAAAAATATTATTTTATTTATTTTTTAAAAAATAAAATAATTATTTTTATTTTTTTTGAGCTCGAGCTTGAAATTGTAAGCTCGTCGAGCTCGAGCTCGAGTTCGAGTTCAATGAATTATGTCCAGGCTCGAATCGATTAGGCTAAAACTCGACTCGACTCGACTCGTTTGCAGCTCTAGTTTAAACCATGAGTACAAAGAAGTAAAAAGAAATGTAAATACAGTATAAAGTTTAAACCACTGAGCTTGACTCAATGACCACTGGAGAGGGACTGGATGAGGTCCCTCCTTGCAAAAAAAATTCAAGGGGGATGCTATGGACTGTAGATGAGGGGTTCAAATTCCATCTGCAACAAAAAAATCCAAGGGGGTGCTATGGGTTGTAGGTGGGGGATTAAACCCCACTATAGCAAAAAAATCCCATAGCACTCCTTAATTTAGTCAAGTTTGCATATTTACTAATCCCTAATACACAAGTCTCTTTAGATTCTCCCTCGTTGTAAATTAGGATAGAATATGTTATATAATTATTATCTAACCCTTAATACACAAGTCTCCTTAGGCTCCCCCTCCCCTATAGATTAAAATAGAATAGGTTATATAATTATTATCGTTGCCAAAAAAAAAATGCAGTACAAAGTTTAGCAGTATCTCTCATCTACACACTTTAGCATAAAAAAAAAGATGAACTTTTGTAAATAAAGTAACATCAGACACATCTTTTTCTTTTTTCTTTTTTCTTTTTTTTTGAAAAAGAGACACATCTTTTGCTTCTGTGCTCTTAAGATACAGAATAGTATGATTATTACTAGTATAGTCAATAATGGATATGTGGAGAAATCAGGAGCCCCTCTAGTTAAAACTTTAGGGAATTGATAGGGTGTAATTTTATTATTTATTTTGTTATTAATTTCTCCTATTACCTGACTTGATTTGGATTAATTGCTGGATTCTACTCATTTTTAGTATTCTGCATGTATTTCAGGGAGTAGAACAAAAATATAACAACAGGTGCTAATTTGGCAGAAAAAGAGTCCAGATGATAGAGCTTGTCCCAGGGGCATTTTTGGAAAAAAGATGTCACGTCCATTTCGGTAATTTGCAGCAAAGGAAGGATGGACGAAGGGCTGGGCCTGACTGGAGGCCGCCGCAATAGAAGAAAAAAGAAAGAGCTTCAGAAAAGATGAGGCAATTAGAATAAGAATTGGGCAGCAGAGAACTAGCGGGGGCTTTTACCTTTTCCCTTTATCTTTGACTTTTCTTCCCTAGCTTGCAGTAGTGGAGTTCTTCTTACGAGACTCATGGCAGGCATTAGCAATTCTTAGCTTTTGACTTTTCTTCATGTTGAATGCTTAGAGCTTTTCTTTTCTTTCCTCGTATGTCGTCTGTAGTGAGACAAAGGGTCACTTCGTGTGACTTTGCTATTTTCTCCTGATTGGAACGAATTGAATTCTCAAATATCAATGACAATGGCCGCAGCTTTATCTTCAATTTCGTGTGAGTTTTTTGCACCAAACATGAACTAATCTCTCCACTCTAGTCAAGGGACAACGGAGGCTCTGGTTCGCCTAAAAATTGTTAGATCGATTTAATTTAATCTTTTTCTTTTATTTATTGGTATTCGCATATCCCTTGATTGCTATGCTTATGGTTATTTAATTAATTGATTGTCATGGATTCAGATAATTAATTGATTTGGTAACCTATTGTCAATTAGGGCATTAAATCCATAATTGTTTAATTGCCCTGAAATAGTGACAACTGGCACGACTAGATTCGTGTCAGGGGGATACGCGGGCTAATCTGAAATAACCCTGGTAGTGCGTTATTTGGTTAGAATAGGGCTCCTCTAATACGTAAGGCAATTGAAAAATTAAATCTTATGAGCGTACCTATGATTATTTCTTAATTAGAGCAATGATTAACGGGCGTACCTTGATCACCGACACAGTAAGGAGGGGTTGACTGTCATCGCTTGTTTGGCAGTTATAACCTATTTATCAGTAAATAATTGGAATTGGTTTTGCATCAATGATCAATTAGGTGAACCATTACTGAAGTTATTCCTTAGCTAGATCCTTAGTTATCACTCATTAGATTTTAGTAAATTGTTATTTAATTTCTAGTTGGCTATTTTATTTTTATTATTTTACTTTTAGTTGAATTGTTTAAATTATCACCCCTGATATAAAAGCACCCCCCTTGTCACTGTGAATTTGGAAAGGAACAAGTACTCACAGTCCCTGTGGATTCGACCCTACTTACCACTATCTACAGAAATTACTTTTAGTTTGAGCAGGTTTTATTATTGCGCAGACTTCGATAACCTGTCAATTTTTGGCGCCGTTGCCGGGGACTGGCGTTATTATTTGTTTCTTTTTAAATTAATTTTTTTGTTCTAATTTTTTGATATTTTTCTAGTTTATGCCTCGGTCTTCTCGTACAGGTGATTTGATTTTTGATTCTGAGGTAGAGAAGACCGCGCGTAGAACGAGAAAAGAGACCAGACAGCTCAGAGAGGAGCACTCCAGTGCTGCATCTCAGGGACCTGAGCCAGAAGTTGAACCAAAAGATTCGTTTGGTGACACTTCAAATGACTCTGACCAGGAGGAAGGAACCATGGCTAATGCACGAACATTAAGGGAGTTGGCTGCTCCTGATTTAAATCAGCAGCCGCTATGCATTACCTTCCCCACCTTAAATGATAACACTCCATTTGAACTAAAATCTGGACTGATTCATCTTTTACTCTCTTTTCATGGTTTATCAGGTGAAGAGCCGTATAAGTATCTGCAGGAGTTTGATGTTGTGTGCAATAGTATGAAGCCCCCGGAAATCACAGAAGAACAAATAAAAATGAGGGCATTCCCCTTTTCCTTGAAGGATTCTGCAAAGGACTGGCTGTACTACCTGCCACCAGATAGCATCACCACGTGGGATCAATTAAAGAAAAAATTTTTGGATAAATATTTTCCTGCGTCCAGGGCTGCAAGTCTAAGGAAAGAAATTTGCGGGATCAAGCAGCACCCAGGGAAGTCACTCTATGAGTATTGGGTGCGGTTCAAGAAGTTGTGCAACAAATGCCCCCAGCACCAAATAAGTGAGCAGTTGCTCATACAGTATTTTTATGAGGGGCTCCTTTTCAGAGACAGGAGCATAATTGATATTGCAAGTGGAGGAGCACTGGTGAACAAAACCCCTCGGGAAGCAAGGGAGTTAATAGAGGGGATGGCAGAGAATTCACAACAATTCGGTACGAGAGAAGATGTCCTAATACGCAAGGTGAATGAGGTAGAGACATTCTCTATCCAGCAGCAGCTAACTGAGTTGACCTCGTTTGTTAGGCAACTGGCTGTAGGAAATGCATCTCAGGCCAAGGTGTCCAGGGTTTGCACTGGTATGGGTCACTCTGCAAACATGTGCCCAATGATTCAGGAAGAAACTACAGAACATGTGAACATGGCAGGTCACGTGCCCACGCCAAGAAGGCCCTATGACCTCTATTCAAGTACCTACAACCCTGGTTGGAGGGACCACCCTAACCTCAGCTATGGAGGGAACAAGCAGTCCAACTTCATGCCGAATAGACAACAAGGGTACCAGCAGCAGTACCAACCCCGACCACCTCCGCCCCCAAGCTCTGGTCCATCGTTGGAGGAAATGATGAAACAACTAATGGCAACCATTACGCAAAATCAGCAAAGGACGGATTTCGAAATGCAGGACATAAGAAATCAGATGAGTCAAATGGTCACAAAAATCAACCGTTTGGAGTCCCAAGTAAATGGAAGATTGCCATCCCAACCTGAACTGAACCTGAAGAACGTAAGTGCAATGACTTTAAGGAGCGGGAAGGAAATTCAAGGGTCCGAACTCGTGACTCCAAAGGATAAGGACGAAGAGAAGATTGAGAAAGAACTTCAGGCAGAGAATACAAGTACCAAAAATCCAGTGGTACCCCCTGACCCTATCATAGACGTTAAAACTAATCCCCCTCCATTTCCTTGCAGGTTGGAGAAATCGAAAAAACAGGACAAAGAGAAGGAGATCCTAGAGGTGTTCCGCAAGGTAGAGATCAATATCCCCTTATTAGATGCCATCAAACAAGTGCCGAAATATGCAAATTTTTTTAGGGACCTATGTGTCAACCGAAAGCGGCTGAGAGGAGACGAAAGGATCATTGTTGGGGAGAATGTGTCAGCAGTTCTCCAAAGGAAGCTTCCACCAAAGTGCGGGGATCCAGGTAGGTTTACTGTCCCATGTAATACTCTAATTAGGAATACCCTGCTGGACTTAGGAGCATCGATCAACGTAATGCATAAATCTATGTATGCTTCTCTGAACCTCGGTCCATTAAAAGAAATCGAGATAATAATTCAATTAGCTGACCGAACAAATGCATACCCTAATGGGTTGATAGAGGATGTGCTGGTTAAAGTTAATGATTTGATATTTCCGGCTGACTTTTATGTACTTGACATGGATGATTATCATTCCCCTGACCCCTAACCTTTGCTACTAGGTAGACCCTTTTTGAGCACAGCACAGACAAAAATTGACGTTAATAAGGGTACATTGTCTATGGAATTTGATGGAGAACTAGTCCACTTTAATATTTTTGATACAATGGAACATCCTGTTAACTCTCACCCTGTGTTTGCTATTCATGCTATTAATCCCTCTGTGCAAGAATTTTCTGAGTTTGCTTGTAGGGATAAATTCAAATTTACTGAGAACAAGTATAAGGGGATGAAAGCACTGTATGAGGTGAAAAGGAGTAGAAAACTAAGAAAGGAGGCTGCCCTCAAAGGCTATTTGGATCCTAGAGGAGGGCCACCGATTTCTAAGAAAATTGAGTTACACCCAGATTGAAGAGTGGTGTTCAATGTCTAGCCAAAAACGTTAAAGAAAGGCGCTCATTGGGAGGCAACCCAATTATTTCTTTTAATTGTTTGTTTTGGTTTCGTGTGATAGTTTAAATATGTTTTCCTTGAATTTGACTGATTTCGGGTTTCAATTCTCATTTTTGATGATTTGTAGGTGTCCTTCTGCCGCGTCATGACATATGGAGAGCTCACGGTCAGAATCGTCAGAAGGGGTTTCTGCCCTCATGACGTGCCCGCATCATGACGTATAGAGTGCTCATGATCAGAATCGTCAGAAGGGGTTTCTGTCCTCATGACGCGCCCACGTCAAGCGACCTGAAGAGCTCCTCATTCCGTGCCTTCGTCACGTGCCCACGTCATGTTTGCGGGAAAGGTAAGTATTCACAAAAACTCAAAAACGATTATTGATTTCCTGTTAATCTCTACTTTTGAATTCCAAAAATAAATTTTATCAATAATAATAAAAAAAAAGATGATATATGCAAAAAAAAAAATTCCAAAAAAAAAAATTTCAAGTAAGTTACAAGGAAAAAAAAAGGGAGTCTTTCCGTGAAAACAAAAAAAAATTCTAAAATGAAAAAAAAAGAAAAAGCAAAAAAAAAATTCTAAAATGAAAAAAAAAAAAGAAAAAGCAAATATTTTTTTTTTCTTTTCCTTTCTTTCCTTTTCTTTTTCTTTCTTTCCTTTCTTTCTTCTTCTTTCTTTCTCTTTTCTTTCTTTCTTCTCCCCTGTTTCTTCTTCTCTTTCGGCCGAGCACACCTCATGGCCGCCGCCATTTCCTTCGCCCGCGGACACGCCACGACTGCCACCACCAGCTCGACCTCACTCCAGCGCCGCCACCAACTGTCCGCCACCCTTCCTCACGCGCCGCAGGCCGCCAGACTCCGCCGCTCGCTGCTGCGCAAGCCGACGCGAGCGCCGCCCCGCTGCCCCACGCCACTGCTCTGGACGCACCTTCCTCGCTCAACCGCACACCCCTCCCATCTCTCCCTCTCTCCTCGCGGTCCTCACTCTGCCCACAGCTCCACCGTGAGCTACCGCCGCCACTTCTGCCCCAGCTCACTTCCACCGCTCGCCAACCTCGAGCTGTACCCAATCTCGCCGCCAGCCACTCCTCCTTGCGCCTCCACCACCGTAGCTTTTACCAGCAAGGGAACTATTGCCCTTTTGTTAACCACCACCAACTCCACCTGCTTCGCCTATCGACCAGTGGAGGTATTTGTCACTCAGTCCTCAACTGTGGCAGTGTTAGTATTATTTTGGTTTACCGGTGACTTGGTTTTGGTTGTGTGTGGTTTATCTTCCATTATTCGCTACACCAGTGGTACTGGTGGAGTAACTGGACCTTAATTTGGTACCCTAGTTTGGTTGGCTGCGTTCTTATTGTCCAATATCTATATTGTCTTCATTGAAATTGCTGATTTAGAGTTAAAACTTTAACTGGCCAAATGGAGCCATTTGTTGAGAATTTAGATGAGCTGAAATATTGCACTTGTTTGTTCAATTGGGAAGCTTCTATACCATATACATTGCTTGTTGTCCGAATTGAGCTACATTATTTGGGGGATCTCACTAGTGTGGGTTAGCCGTTGAACTTGTTTCATCCACTGTTTGGGTATTTTGGCTTCACTAGGTCACTTCTACTCTTTTGGCTGACTGTTGGAGGCTGGGCACTTGGAATTACTCTGCTACTGTCGAATTTATGAGTTATTATTGATTGCATTGTTCTTTCTTGGGGCTGTTTGATTGGATTGTGCATTCCATTTTTCTGTCAGTGGTACTGGTTGGAGTGTTTTCACTTCAATTTGATGCTTCTTTTGGGTTGGTTACATTGTGCGGTTAATTGTCAAATTGGGACCATTTATTGGGATTCTGGTTGACCTTTGTCTACTTTTACCTGTAAATTTGGGAGCCGTTGTTGCCTGATGAATTGGGAGACATAGATGGCTATTGCTCTGCCCTGATATTGCTTGGTTGCTGGCGCATTCTCTATCTTATGATTGGGTTAATACTTAGGGCTGTCGATTTACTACTGCTTTGCTCTGCTATAGCAATTTCTCTCATTTTGGACTGTGATTTGCACCAGTGGTACTGGTGCGAGTATTTGTTACCTCTATTTGATTCGACATCCAATTGACTGCCACGGGCCTGTGACTATGTGGCTATTACTCAATTTCTGAACTCATATCGCTGGGGTCAACATATTATTTTTGACTGACTGAATTGGGTAGTCCCTGTGCTTATTGACGTGCCTTTGCTAGTTTCCAGTTGTTGATAATAGTTTCTGATTGTTGGTTTTGGAGTGCAACTGTTGCTTTGTTGACCATATTTGGGCTTGGGTGCCCGTGTTTGCTTTTGCAATTGACTATTGAGTTGGGGAACACCAGTGACTATGGATTTGCATTTGTTGGTTGATATCTTTGTTGGATATTCTGTCTTTTGTTGTTTGGGGTGATAATTGGCGACAATGGTGAGTGGCGCCACTTACAAGCACAGGTTCACAACGTAGATGAGCGAATGACGAACATCACCCGCCAAGTGGCAAGGATGTCTCAGAACCTGGCCTCGTACCTTCCCCACGTTGGTTTCCCTCCGCAGCTGCCAAATTCCTTTAACCACTTGAGAGGGAAGTTTCGTTGTCCTCTTTGCTTTAATTATTTTATTCCCTCCATCGAGGACAATGTAGGATCTAGGTGTGGGGGGGACAACTGTACTAGTTTCTTTTTCTAGTTTTTAGTTTTTAGATATTTTTCTTTTATTTTTAGTTTGTTATTTGTCTAGTTTTTGCTTACTTTTTGTCATTTATCTGTCTAGCTCTGCCAAGTTTGATGTTGGATTGTTGCCTCTAGCTCTGCTATTGCCTGCTATTTCTGCTATTGTTGCCTCTATTTCTGCTATTTATCGAGTTAATGTGGTTGATTCCAAAAACATCTCTTTGGTGAATATCGATGATTGTTTTACTCTTATAATTTTCGGTTAACTTTCCTAGGTATAGGGAATGATTGTTGGCATTTTCATGTGAATTGGTCCGGTTATTAACCTTAGTTCTCCATATTTGAAAATGAGGCTAGCTGATGCAAGTTTTCTTTTGGTTCTTGTGTTATATTGAGTTTTTGTGATTTTTAGTTATGAATAAATTTGACTGTACTCCGCTATTAGTTACTACTGAGTAACCGGGGATCTACACCTAAAAGTGTTGATTCTCGCGTCAAAAGGTAGTAATTCCTATGAGTACATGGTCGTATAGCGATAGGAGCTGAGTAACCGAGCTCTTTCATCTAAAAATATGGGAGTTCGCGTCAAAAGGCTCTAATGGCTAGCGACGTCTTTTGTTACTATTGAGAAAAGCAAAAAAAAAAAGAGAGAAAAATAGAAAAATAGAAAAACATGAAAAAAAAGTGAATGTTGTGTTAGTGTATAATAAAAGTCAGCTTGCCGATTTATGGATTTAATGTTGAGATTTTGGTTAATAGTTGGACCATTTGCTGATAAATGTTGTGTGTCATTCCTTTTTTTTAGATTAGTTAACCTGAAATTAGAGGAGTTTATGGTTTATAAGCTAACCGAAGTGATGTTTCTTGGATCTTGATCACTGATGCTTGATATATATTTTTCTTGATATCTTGGCAATATGGTAGATAGAGCAATAGCCATTGTCAAATACTGGTGTTTGTTTGCTGCTCTTATGCTTGAGGACGAGCATGGTTTAGGTGTGAGGGGAATTGATAGGGTGTAATTTTATTATTTATTTTGTTATTAATTTCCCCTATTACCTGACTTGATTTGAATTAATTGCTGGATTCTACTCATTTTTAGTATTTTGCATGTATTTCAGGGAGTAGAACGAAAATATAACAACAGGTGCTAATTTGACAGAAAAAGAGTCCAGATGATAGAGCTTGTCCCAGGGGCATTTTTGGAAAAAAGATGTCACGTCCATTTCGGTAATTTGCAGCAAAGGAAGGATGGACGAAGGGCTGGGCCTGACTGGAGGCCGCCGCAATGGAAGAAAAAAAAAAGAGCTTCAGAAAAGATGAGGCAATTAAAATAAGAATTGGGCAGCAGAGAACTAACGGGGGCTTTTACCTTTTCCCTTTATCTTTGACTTTTCTTCCCTAGCTTGCAGTAGTGGAGTTCTTCTTACGAGACTCATGGCAGGCATTAGCAATTCTTAGCTTTTGACTTTTCTTCATGTTGAGGGTAATTTCTGTAGTGTATTCACATATTCCGAAGACAGGTGTGGAAAGCAAATAATATGGCAAAGAAGCCTCCACGTTGCAACCTGACAAGTACGGACGACGAAAGGGAATAATTCTAGAAAAGGAAGTGATGACCTATAACCGCAGTTTGGACAGTGGAAATGTAGCGTACTGCACAAGCTGAAAATGCATTGGGGTGAAACGGAATTAACAAAAATATAATGGGCTAAGGAGTAAAAATAAACCCGTTAACTTTATTAAAACAACCCCAATTTTCAACTCTTTCGTCCATAATAACAACGGAGAGTACCCATTTTACTTGAATACAAATGTTAGTGATCGGACAATAGCATATTCGAATGCATTTTTGAATAAAGAGCCAACTCTTTATGGCTTTCCTGCACTACAACTAAAGATTAAATCCATTTTGAGGACCATTATTATATTCAAACGGGTGTCTCAGTTTAAAAGTGTCAGCTCCCCTTGGTTTTCTTCCATTACAACAACATAAAACCCAAGGTGGCATAAAGACAGACTGATTTATCGGATAAAATGAAATTAAACCCGCTGGTGAGTAAAAGACCAGCTGTTTGTGCCTTTCAACCATTGCAGTGACAGAGTACCCCAACGTGCCTTAAATACAAATGTTGGGTTAAGGGATAAAATTTAGTTAAAACGGTTGTCTTATAAACGACCAGTTCTTTACGGCTTTCGTCCATCAGACGTTCAGGAGAACCCAATTTCCTTGAATACAAATTTTTTTATCGGGAAGCATAAAAATTAACAGCCGGTGTCGGTTCTGTTGTATAGTACTAAACAAAGCCATGCTGGGGCCACGGAAGAGGAAGCGTATTAGGTACTAAACACACAGCCATGTTGGGGCCCGCAGTGATGCGTGTGTTTGAAGACAGGTGGTGAGGTCGGAATCGAAGGCAAAAATTTGGTAAAGAAGAAGTCAAGGCCGGAATAGACAGAGGTGGTGTCTACTGGCGTAAATTCAGGCGCAGGCGGTGACGGTAGATATATCTGAGGAAGGCCCTTCCGAAGCTGTGGTGACAGAATGCAGCGGCGTGGAACAGAAGCAGAGAAATCAAAGGTGAGTACTTTTGTCCATAACTTTGACAAATGGAGTAAAATAACGAGTAAAACACCTGTACGTCTAGTAGGGTGATTTCTACAGTTCTTGTAAGAGGCAATGATAGAGGAATAAGGAATACGAAATACGGGGTGTAAGACCCTGCGTCTTCGAACAAAGATGAAACGAAACCGAAAAATTATCGTAGTTTATTTGTGCACCGAGCTTTGTGTACGTACGTAGGAAGTGTTGGTCCTGTAATTTGTATTAAATTGTGTAAAGAAAATTAAGCAGAAATGAGTGAAGACGTGAAGAAGACGTTGTAACAGGACTAAAGTATTAAAACAGAGTGATTTGGATGGCCGTGTGGACATCGATAATGGGCCCCGTACTGCATTGCGAATGGTTATGTGAAAAGAAGTAAAGAAACACACAGTAGAGGTTGAGTTAGTGGGTGTTAATGAAAATGCATGTCGATAGTGGTATTTTGTGCTAAAGGTTGTTATAATTGCATCAGCCACACTTATAAAAACTGTGTATATGAATGTTAGAGTAATGTTTATCGTCTGTATTTTGTGAAAGTTGTGAGGTAAAGTATGGTTTGTTAACTGAAATGATCGTGTATATATGTTTTGTTCCATTAGTAGACGATCAGTATTTATGTTACAAACGAAAGCATATGGGGAGGCTGAAAAAAAAAATATTAAGCGACCATGGTTAGAATAAACATTGAACAACCACACAGGGGTTGTAACTATGGGGCAGGATGGGGCGCTTAAAACTCATGACATGTTGCAGGAAACAGAGAACGGAAAAATTGGGATGGATGGTTGCGGCAGGTTAAGGTCATTTGACCTTAACCAAGAACTTGAGTGTGACCGAGACACATTCAGTGAAGAAAGCGGTGGTTCAATAGGAGGACACGAAGATGAGGAGGCAGATGAATTGGTGGGCGCAATAGGCGTGGATGACGTAATGAAATTAACATTTGACACGGAAGAAAAAGCTGGGAAATTCTATAATTTGTATGCGAAACTAAGCGGATTTGGGATTCGTAAAAGTAATGCCAAACGAGATGCAGATGGCATTTCAAGATTTAGAAAATCAGTATGTTGCTATGAAGGTTATAGGAATGAAAAGTGGTTTAATTATGAAGACCGGAAAAGAGAAGCAAAACCAATCACAAGAACCGGATGTGGGGCTTGCTTTCGCGTGAAATATGACGTAGAATCGGTAAAGTATGTGGTGACACATTTCATTATGGAGCACAATCACCCGCTGGCATCAGAGGCAAGTGTGTAACACATTAGGTCGCATAGAAAAGTGAGCGATGCAGAACATGCACAGGCAAAAAGTCTAAAGTTGGTTGGGGCCAGGAATGTAGAAAATGGACGAGGAACGTAGAAAAGATATTTTGAATGGCGATGCAGAAGGGGCACTTGGGTTCTTGGCAGCGAAGAAGGATGCCGATGACATGTTCTTTTATAAATATCATGTAGATAATGAAGGAAGATTGGCAAGGTTGTTTTGGACAGATTCTAAATCTCGTGTGGACTTCAGTGTATTTGGAGATGTATTGGTGTTTGATACAACATACAAAATAAATAAATACCGCAAGCCACTAGTTGTACTTGCAGGGGTAAACAACCATTTGAACAGTACTGTTTTTGGCTGTGCACTGCTATCAGATGAGAGGATTGAAACATATGAATGGGTGCTAAGTACATTTGTAGAGGCTATGAAAGGTAGAAAGCCAGTAGCAGTGATGATAGATGGGGACAGTGCAATGCGAAGAGCGATAAAGAATCTTCTCCCGGATGCTTGTCACAGGCTATGTTCCTGGCACTTGCATAGAAATGCACGGAGTAATATTCGCTGCGAGGAGTTTAATAATAGGTTGTATAACCTGATGGCGAGAAAGTGTAGCACTTTTGAGTTTGAGGATCGGTGGGCTAGGTTAGTTAATGAATGTGTGGTGGTAAAGAATGAGTGGGTGAAGAAGTTGTACCGTAGGAGAAGGTTATGGGCAGAGGCCTATTTACGCGATCATTTTTTTGCAGGTATGAGAAGTACTCAAAGGTGTGAGAAAATGCATACTTTTTTGAATGAGTACTTGAATGAAAAAATGCGACTATATGAATTCGTTAGAAGTTTTGATTTGGCAATAGCATGGCTTCGACATACTGAGAGCAAAGCAGTTCACACAAGCGAAAACACAAAACCAGTCTTAACCACAATCCTACCCAAATTAGAGGGGAGCGCAGCGGAGGTGTTTACAAGGAATGTGTTCTTCATGGTGAGGAAGCATTTGAACAGGCAAGGACTTCTAATTTCTGAGGACTGGAGCGAGGATGGAGGGAGTCGTACATATTATTACTCGAAATATGGTGGACACGAAATAAGTTGGAGGGTGGATTATGATAGGTCAATGGAGAAGCTAATATGCTCTTGCATGAAATTCGAGTCAAAGGGGATTCCTTGTGCTCACATGTTTCGAGTAATGGTGGTAGAAGGAATGAACAGGATCCCAGAAGCATGCATTTCGAAGCGGTGGACATAGAGAGTTTACTGTACTAATAATGGAATGAAAGTATTTGTTGCAGACGAACAGTTGACACAAATGGCCAGATATGGCACTTTAAAGTCTAGCTGTAATACTATGTGTTACTATGCGTCCTACATGGATGATGCGTTTACTGACCTGCAGCAGATGTTTGACAAGCATTCTGTGGACCTAAAGGAGAAGTGGATTGCAAGGGGATATGGGGGAGACGGATTTGCAATGGATTCAAGAGTGATGAACGATAGAAGTAGAAGAACATTCGGGCTGTTAGATCCCAGGGTGTCCCGGTGTAAAGGTGATCACAAGCATGCAGAAGCAAAGAAGAAAAGAAAGTGTGGTCATTGCAGGTACTATCGGAAATGCATACGTAGTTATACAGTAGTGAATTGATAAAATGCATGAAGTGGACAGTGAACGTAATAATGAAGAAGTGGGTATTTTTCGTTCTTATTATCAACAGTAGGAAAATAAACACATAATTAAAAGTGCATACAAAGTATACAAAGTTATTGGCAATGCAAGAAAGTTGAAGTGGTGTAATGTTAGCATTTTGCTTAGTTGACGTGATTACTTGCAGTCACAAATGATTTGACATGTGATATATGGGTTGAAGATTGCAGGCAGGCCACAACCAACGAACATGCCCATACAAAAAGAATTCGCACAACACAGCAGTTCATGATGATCATATGGAAAATTGTTTGGATGACTCGCTGGAAAAATCATTTGAAATTGGTACGGGGTGGAGCGACTCAGGCAAATGGAGAGGACAAGCATTTGTAGCACAACCATTCGGTAGCGGTGGAAGGGACACAGGTGACCAACAAAGAAGTCCAGGAGAAAGATGAGGCACTACTGTCGTGATGCTTCGGTTTGCAGTTACGCAATAAATAAGGCACGTTTTGGTGAGTTGAGGTGCAAGAGTATTCAAGGTTGCTAGGTCTAGATGGGTAAGTCATTGTAGTTCCACCGAAGGGGTCATGCACAGAAGGATGCACAAGATGCATGACTGTCATGGTTGCGTCGTAAGCACTGTTGTAGCAAATAGTGCTACAGCACTTGGTTAATAGGAGAGCAAGTAGTTGACAAATAGTGTATTAGAGGAACCAAACTTGTTATGGTCCTTTTTTGTAAATAGAAAATTAAGTGGAAGCGTATGTTGCGCAAAATTTCTTCGTGGGATAGACGTTTTCCGAAGTGGCTACTTGGGAATCAGCTTCAGTTGCCCAGGTTTTGTAAACTGGTGCCTTACGCTGCTGCTATAAACAGCTTTTACGATATGGGCGGTTTGTTCCTCTCCTTGCTATCCTAACCAATGACCGTAAGGCCCAACGCCTTTTCTTTTGCCCATCGTTCCATTCAGGTGTAGGAACAGTAACTTCTGTTTCTCCCCATCTATTTTCATTGCTCACAATGTTATGCGTCTCTTCAGTGCACCAATAATAACAATGGTATTATTAGTTATATGTATTATATATGTATATTAATTTATATAATATAATTAATATTATGAATTATATTAATAATTATACATATTTACTAATAGAAATTATTAATTAGTTCGAGTAACTTTAATAATACATTTGTACTAATATATTTAATTAGCCAATAACTATCAATTACGATTAATTATTTTTACAGCATTTGTACATTTCCGTTGGAGTTTACTATTTTACGTAACTTGTTTGCACACGATTAATGAATTTCTATATGATTTATAACAATTATGCAATGTCCGCGTCATGTACGTAATCTAAATTCCTATGAACTGTAGAAAAAATTCCACATGTTTACTGACACTCCATCCGAACAACTTTGATACATCAGTTTATTTTGGTGACATAGTTTAACAAAAATTGGTATACCCTGTTGGAACAATCCACTTAGGTAGCAATACTCCGTCAGCCTCCCTCACACTAATTACTTGTACAACTGTGTGGAAACTTGAACTGATATAAATAAGTTCGAACAATGTAATGCATTAAGTATGATAGATTTATAGTAACGACAACTTGCATTTAAATTGTTTTGTTGTAAGACAAAAAATAAGAACAGGGCTATAAATTAGTTGTGGGAAATTGACGGTGACAAATTTTCTATCAAAGCAGTTAAACGGTACAAATTTAGAGAAACAAGTTCAATGTTACCAATTATCTGTCAACTGTTAACATTTTTCGTGTTCAAGTTTAAAATTGTATCAGAAGTACACAACAGACGTGGCGATTGCTCACAGCTCGGCTTTGTTGGTGGGGACTCCCAACTAGTTTGCATGCTCATTCCTCTGGCTACACAACCTTGTTTGCGGTTATGGGCCATGGGTGCTCAGTCTTTGGCATTATGAATTCCCTGACATTCGTGAGCTTTGCCTCTACCAAGGTCATCCGCAAATGTCTCCGTCCCGGCACTTGTGTTCGGACGCTTAGAAACACAGGATTCCAGGCCACCAATTCCACCGCGAAGGCAGCGTTTCCCTGCCCCCTTTTGGAGCTTCAATGCACTTTCCAAAATTACCTGTATTTGATATAGCCTTTGGTCCACCACTTGTGAGTTGTCCGACACATTGGATGCCAAACGAAATATTTCTGCACTTTTTTCTAAGACTTTCTTTCTGAGCCCTATGCACTGAACAAACAGGTTCTCGTACCATTGTCTAGGCACCTAAGCGGAAACAACACAGATGGCTGTATTAATTTTACACAAATTGCTAAAATTAAATGCCGAGTGAAGTACAGGGCGAAGAATGCCATACCACATCACCAACAGCACATGGAAGAGGCAACCCTATTACATCGCCACCAACTCTGTGAATACCCTCTTGCTGCAGTGATCCATCAGTTTGTATGCACAACACAGACCAGGGAGGGTAATTAATTGGATGTTACAGTGACGGTGTTGTAGCCTCACTTAGTGGCAAGTGGTCACATATATGAATTACGCACTCCTTCCCACTGGGTGGCAACGCGGAGGAAGTCATTGGTTTCATTAGCTTGCTGCGCACAAACTCGTCATACGTAGCATATGGAGGGGGATCTGGGAAAAGACTTGCAATGGGCAGTCCATGAAGCAAATCATGTAGCGTGTTTCCTGAAATTGTATCAGTGCTATACATATCTGATGGCCGATGGGAAGGTTGCTTTGCACATACACCTGCCTAATAACCCTCTCACCCAGGTAGTAAAATCGTCCCATGGGGCCATCCAAAAGCAATCTCGTTGCAGTTAGTTCCTTGGATTTGAGATACCGACTCGGCAATGCCATTGCAGGGAAGGGCAGCCAGTTGACCTATGACACACAATTAACAAGCGATGTAACATTGGTTTGTTCAACAGGCGAAACAAATTCATAACAACAGTTAACACTTAGGCGGTAGAAACTATTGGATGTCCTAAGTACGGGAACTAACGTTTTCCGGGTTAATGGTGTCAATTGCGCGGCGAAAATGTTCGACCGTAGACGGTGATTGTCGGCTGGCTCTATTACACGAGCGCCATCGCCACATTGTGGGCAATACGTCCCTCTCGTCCTGTTTCAGTTTATACGGATTTAACTGAAGAATTTCATAAGCCCACACCTACAGGTTGTCGTACAAATTATGTCCAACGTTCGAGATGAACACTAACTGCCTGAAAAGTTTATGTAACGGAACATGGTAATGTCGAATTGACACAGAGTGAAGGCAATTCTGGACTTACCTCCCAAATGAAGCTGTAGCTGCCAAGGCTTTTCGTCCGGCGTCGGAAGACGACGGACATAAATCTGTACAAGGTTGCCATCCCCGCCCCTCCCCAGTTATAATCCCCTATACGATCTACGTCCTCCAGCGCAGGCAGACAGCACAGGTGAATTGTTTCGGCCGTGTTGCTAAGTAAAATGCGGCCAAGCATGTAGAGAAAGAAAGCTCTAGTTAGATGTGCCAGCTGGACGTCGTCGTTGTCGTCAATCGCCTTGTCTTTGTAGAATGACAATATATCGGTAACTCTGATGGCACCGGCCGAAGCAAAAGCTGGCACCCAACCCAATTGCTCGTTGATGTAATTGGCATTTTCGCTAACAATGTAATCCCACGGAATGGGCAAGCCGCCCACTGCAACACCGGTTATATAGGTGAAGTCCAAGGGTGTCAGTGTCATCTCTCCGAAAGGCAAGTGGAAGGAGTTTGTTGAGTCCCACCATCGCTCCGCAAGTGCGACAGGCAATTTCCTATCTCTATCGGCCACGGGCAAGTGGCTCAGAAAATCCTCAAACCCAGCACTAACAACTTTCGCGGCCACCTTACGAGGCAGCCTCTTCCACCACTCCATAATTTCGACTGACGACCCTCTAGGATAAATTGAATAGACTTCCTGTGCATTAATGTAGAACCAATTCAGGCAGTTATATATAAGTATAAACCAAATGAGGACTTAGGACAAAATAAGCACAAGTAATTGTCGACATTGATTGTGCAACATGTACCCCCTGTGCAAGGAAAATGTGCGATATGTGGGTTTTCCGATCAACCAGCAGTTCTTGCGAGTGTTCTTCATCACGCGGTGGCCGGTAGCGATGGAGCCTGCCCATCGCACGGCTTTTGGAGTTGGATTTTGGACGAATATTGTGACGGCGTAGCCTATATCAAAATCCCTGTCGCCCCACCCGCGATTATGAATAGCTTTGCCGTTAAGTGTTGCGGCCTTGTAGGTGCGTAGGCGTCTTTCTTCGCCTGACATTTGAATAGTTATACATTTTGAACGGCTGTGGCCAGGTTGGGCGTGCAATGGGCTTGTACCTTGTAAGTAGGGTTGCAAATTGGGAAATATGTGTTACAGTGACGGTCGGCGCGTGTGCTATGCATGTTTTCATTGGCCTTGACATACATACCCTTCTCAGTTTTACTTGGACGAGTAAGGAAACAGTATTGTGGCCAACCTGCGCGTCGTAAGCAATGAAATGTCTCCGAACGTTTCATTATAGCAAGGGGAGAAATTTGGATTAGATAAGATGAAAAAATTTGAATTTAAAAACACAAACCGCAATTGAGGGATATTAACAGCTAAAATTGAAAAGCACCCGTAATGGATGGTCCGGACGATAAATGAATACGGGTTGCCAGAACTCCACTGACACTATGTTGTTGCACGGCCAGGGCCCTCTAGAACATTAGTTAAATACATAGCAACAAACGTTTTAGTGCACAATGAATAGAAATATAGGAAAAATATTAAGTATAAAAACAATTAAATTTTGCTGTGAAAAGAACTTTCATATATAAAGTTAACCCCAATTTATTGTGATTTGGAAAAAGAATTTTTAACCAACATTATGTGTACGTAATGATACCAAAAAAGAAAACAAAGCAAATCCATTATGTGTGCATTATCGGTTTAATAGCAGCATAGTTTTAGTTGTAATTAAATAAACAGTAGTCATAATGTTTCTTACATTTTATTAATTAGAAAAAATATAGAAAGCCACAAAAACCTGTGACTAGCTTCAACATCAAATAAAAAAAATACAAACTTGCATATTTTTGTTTCTTTTTTGAGAGAAATAGCGAGTTAATCTATCCATTTAAATCATGTCTAATAGCCTTACAAATAGATGAAAACATTATCTAACGAAATAGTTATAGAATATGTATAGCAAGTTTAAATAAAAACATGAATTGCCATCTTTGTAAATCTACATATGCAAATTCAAATACAACATTTTGTTTGATTGCAAATATGTCTTCTTAATGTGAATAGATTTTTCTAATAATATTTTGTATAGTGACACTCTAAGCTAAAAGCCTCAATACTAACTTCCACCACCAATTGCATTCCTTTGAAAACTGAAATTGTTTTAGCTAGTCAAATCAACAAAATATTATTAACTTCTTTAGTCAAATAGTAATGACATGTCCATTCCTATGCCTAACAATCATCTCAAACTCTAATTACATTATCTATCATTATGGCCAATAAAAAAGGATAAGAGTAAGTCATATAGAACCAGTTTAAGTAAAAGATTCTGAAATCTAATTTTGCACTTCTTTTATTTCCAAGTTATCATTTGCTAAAATTAAAACCATGAAAATAAACTATCTATCATGGATACAAGCTAGTCATTCAAAATGTTGAATGAAGAGATATAAAATATTATCTTCACATTCTAAATTGCTAGCCCCAACAAATATTTTACACATCACCCACCTTATCCAGTTGGGTCCCATTTTTCACAATTAATAAACTTTATATATATTAAATATAATTACCTATCCATCAATTAAGGGATTGGGTTAATATTTAATTTAATAAGCATAATTTTTTTCTAAATGATCATTGTTTACCTTGGATTTTCATTTATTAGATTTTTTTCTCCTCTATTGTAGTACTATCACCCTATTATCAAATAACAATTTTAATAAATAAAAAATTAGAATGATAAAATGAATCTGCCCAAATCACTCTTTTTGATACCTCTAACAATTCTTTCTTTGTTAGCCTAAAAATTTTTCATGTAATCACCACTCATCCTGTTGTCAACCTTAGTTAATTTTTTTCCAAAAATAAAAATATCAAAAAGTAGTGTGGCCATAAATAAAATATAAAAACTAAAAAAAATGTTTCTTTAGATTTGGGGGAAAATATTCATAGCAGCACATACCTCTTTTGGGCAGAAAAGAAAGTTAGATGAGGAAGAAATAGGTGAGAAAAGCAATAAGCAAAGGTTGCTGATCAAGATGCAAAAGATGACAAAATAAATATCAAATATTATATACCAAGAAGAGACATTAAACGTAGAAGATTATGAATCATAATTATTGGACTATGGAAGAAAGGAAATTTGAAACCCATTCTTGATCTCCTTAAATGAAATCATTCATTTAGTTAATTATGGGGGAAAATGAAAGAAAGTGCATGAACTAATCCAATAGAGAAAAAAAATAGAATAAATGATTAGGATGATAGGGGAAAAAACGGAGTACAAAGTAGAAACTATATAAGATACACGTAGTGCACGTGAGGATTTGTCTAATTACCTTTATCTTCAATCAAAAAAGAGAAAGGAAATAAAGCGAACAAAAGAAAAAACAAAGCAGAACGAATAAAAGAAAAGGAAAGGAATAGGCCACGTGTGAAAATGAGAGAGATCCACTTGGCAATCATTGGAGCTGCTATAGTAACTCCACTTTGTTCTTATATAATGGATTAATAGGTAGATATTGTGGTACAAAATAATAAACATATCTATACTAACACTTTTTGAAGAAGAGATGCTTAATATTTCGGGAAAAAAGTAATCTAGAATCATGTACATGGTAACAGAGTTTTTAATGCATTTAAACAGACAGTTAGCATGGGTGGTAAGATGAAAAGCGTTTCTTAAATAATTCAATGCATCAATATTGGACAGAACATATGATGTTAAGGTCCATATACAAAAAACCTATAATAAAAAACAAGGATCTCAAGTTCTCAACCAATTAATTTTGTTCCATTTTTCAAAAAAAAATCATTCTCCTATCTTGTGCCCCTAAAATTGTTGAATGCATTTACTTTACCATTTTTTACAAAGTTTAACGTCGTATTTTTAAAAAAATGTCTGCAATATGTGTTTTTAGACTTCTTACGAATATTCAAAATCACAATCATCTATATCGTATCCCTTCAATCCCCTTTATTTTTTATTCCCATTTCCATCCATCCCTGTAACCCATACTTTTTGGCAATATTCCCTATCACTCTTCAACTTCTCACCATTTTGTTCCCTCCCTCCTCCGCTTATATGTAACCTCTAAATTCATGTCGCTGCGACCCCGTACATTTAACTTTATGTATCATAATAAAATATAAAAATTTTATCGGAATTGCTACCGTAAATATTCACAGTCTTACAGTCAACAATTTTATGGCCACGACATACCAATTTTATGGTACATGGGTATTTGTTAATATGGATCTGTCGGATATTGATACATTTTTCGAAAACTATTTCTAATCTTCCCAACCAACCTAACCCTCTCATTCACTGTATTTAACAATCGTTCTGTTATGTAAATCATTATAGATTACAAAATTTTTTAGCATGTCATGCATCACTTATTCCAGTGTGTAAAGTGCTCGATGTTTTGCAATTAATATGTTTTGCTTGAAAAAGATTATTTTATGTTGGGCAAAACTAGATGTAAGCTAAAGTTGTAATTGTTGAGAATTGTAATTTTGTTCCTCATGGAATACATAAGATATAAGATAAAATGGCCATTTTTTTTTTTGTTCTTCTGTGTAAGTGGGAGATATTGAATCCAAAACCCCCTATTTACACTCCCTCCTCCCTTGCCACCCACGTCAACCCTCTCCCAGATAAAATGACCAATTTTAGTTTGAGTAAATAATAGAATGATTAGTATATTAGTTAAATTTGAAGATAAAATGACCAATTTTAGTTTGAGTAAATAATAGAATGATTAATATACTAGTTAAATTTGAAGATAAAATGACCAATTTTAGTTTGAGTAAATAATAGAATAATTAATATATTAGTTAAATTTGAAGATAAAATGACCAATTTTAGTTTGAGTAAATAATAGAATGATTAATCTATTAGTTAAATTTGAAGATAAAATGACCAATATTAGTTTGAGTAAATAATAGAATGATTAATATACTAGTTAAATTTGAAGATAAAATGACCAATTTTAGTTTGAGTAAATAATAGAATGATTAATATATTAGTTAAATTTGAAGATAAAATGACCAATTTTAGTTTGAGTAAATAATAGAATGATTAATATACTAGTTAAATTTAAAGGCGGGAACATGCTTCGTCCTTAAAGCAAAGGCACGCTGCAGTAGTCATCACATTGGACTTGACGGTGAAAGGCGGGCCACCAATGGAGTATGACCGCACATTATCTGTCAATCCGTACACGAGGCTGTAAAGCTTGTCCGATAAGCAAGACTGGCGCCAGACTGGCGCCAGTCTCGTCACCTTTTGGAATTACCCCGCCAACAGAGCAAAAATTGCTCTCCAAGCTTTGGCGCCAGTCTCGTCAACTTGGAGAATTACCCCGCCAACCGAGTATCGTCATCTTATAATGGAGGATTTATTGAAAATAGGTAGTGTTTTATTCAGAAATATTTTTATCTGTATTTTATCCCTTAAATTAAGTTGTGTACGGTACAAATGGGTACTCTTTTGTTGTGATGGAGGAATGCCGTAAACAGCTGGTAATTTCTTCGAAAATGGTTGCATTGTTATTCGACCCACAACTAAATGTATTTGTACAAGGGAAAATGAGTACCCTGTTGTTGTAATGCTGGAAACACATAAAAGGCTGGTATTTTATTGAAAAAAATAATTGTTATTATTGTATTCGGAAAAACATGTCTGTCTACGGAAAAGGGTACTCTGTTCTCATATGCCTGCCGAACCCGTCCACAGCTGGTCTTCTACAGCGGGGTAGTGCAATTCAGAAATATGCATGCGATTTGGTTCTTCTAATTTTCCCAAATAAAAATTTAGATGCAGTGCCAACTGTGACTTATTATCGCACTAACCTAACTTTGGTTGGTTAACCGTGGTCTGCAAAAGGATGC